AAGTGTCCCTAGGTCACTTTGGGGAAGGATTGAGGGAATGCTTATTGTTTATACTTGTAATGGACTTGCAGGGCTCTTCTTCGAGAAGACCCAGTCTCCCCTTCAATCAGTGGGCTCTGAGTCTATGAACAAACTTACCTGGGAACCCAGGTGGAGGGCCATGATTTTTCCATTGTAGCATCCAACTTAAGCTTTCTGCTCTGTAGCTCTTAAGTTTTTTTTTCCTTCTTTTAAATAAAATTCAAGAAACACTGTACTTCTGTCCATCTATGTTACCCCTCAGAATACTATGATCTGTATCAGACATCAGCACAGGCTCGAAGCAAAGCACTGTCAGGTTGCACCTGTGTAAAGCTAATCAAGACTTGGGGCTTTGTTGCACTGGTAGCTCGAGTAACACGTGGGAGTTGAGAGGATTTGAAATAGAACACAGATGTGTTCTGATGTGTCTAGGCCGAGGGTCAGTCTTTGCTGGCCCCAGGTGAGTCCTATCTCCTGGCATTGTGTAAGCCACTCCCCTTGCATAACTTACCTCTAACCAAAGAAGACAGCAATATTGAACGGCCATCACTTCTGTGACTAGGTTACCAGAAATGTGACTTCTGCCTTGCTAGAAAATTCTCTCTTTTGGCTTTAATGAAGCAAGTTGCTATGTTGGAGAGGCCCACATGGCAAGGAACTAAGGGTGACCTCCCGTCCGCAGCCACCAAATAACCGAAGCCTGCATTCCAACAGCCCAACGGAACTGAGTGCTGCGAACAATCATGTAAGTAAGCTTGGACACATCCTCCCATGGTTGAGCCTTCAGATGAGGCCCTAGCCCTCTTTGACGCTTGAACGCAGCCCTGTCAGAGGCTGTGAACACAAGTTCAGCTGAGCCTTGCCTGGATTCCTGACTCACAGAAGTTGTGAGATAAATAAAGTGTATTGTTTTAAGCTGCTAAATTTTAGTGCATTTTGTTACTAGGATGACAGTCAGTTCCGGTTTGCCTGGGACTGTTCTAGTTTTAGCATTTTAAGTTCTGTTTTTTTAAACAATTTTTTTTTTTCCTGGTATGCGGGCCTCTCACTGCTGTGGCCTCTCCCGTTGCGGAGCACAGGCTCCAGACGCGCAGGCTCAGCGGCCATGGCCCACGGGCGCAGCCGCTCCGCGGCACGTGGGATCCTCCCAGACTGGGGCACGAACCTCCGTCCCCCGCTTCGGCAGATGGACTCCCAACCACTGCGCCACCAGGGAAGCCCTAAACTTTTTCAGAATTGAAATATAATTCACATATAACGTTATATTAGTTTCCGGTGTACAACATAATGATTTGGTATTTGTATACATTGCCAAATAATAACCACAATAAGTCTAGTTAATATCCATCACCACACATAGTTACAATTTTTGTTCTTGTAACGAGAACTATTCTCTTGGCAACTTTCAAATATGCAATACAGTATTATTGACTATAGTTACCATGCTGAACATTACATCCCCATCACAATTTTTTTTTTTTTTTTTGCGGTACGCGGACCTCTCACTGCTGCGGCCTCTCCCGTTGCGGAGCACAGGCTCCGGGCGCGCAGGCTCAGTGGCCATGGCTCACGGGCCTAGCTGCTCCAAGGCATGTGGGATCCTCCCGGACCGGGGCACAAACCCGTGTCCCCTGCATTGGCAGGCAGACTCTCAACCACTGCGCCACCAGGGAAGCCCCATCACATATTTTTATAACTGGAAGTTTGTATATTTTAGCCCCCTTCACCCATTTCTCCCCTCCCCCCAGTCTTCCACCTCTGGCAACCACCAAACGGTTTTCTGTAACTATGAGCTTGGTTTTTGTTTGTTTTTTAGATTCTGTGTGTAAGTGAGATCATATAGTATTTGTCTTTCTCTGTCTGACTTATTTCAGATAGAAATAGTATAATGCCCTTGAGGTCCATCCATATTGTTGCAAATATCAAAAATTTATTCTTTTTTATGGCTGAATAATATTCCTGTGTGTGTGTGTGTGTGTGTGTGTGTGTGTGTGTGTGTGTGTGTGTGTATCACATTTTCTTTACCCATTCATCCACTGATGGACACTTAGGTTGTTTCCGGTATCTTGGCTATTTTAAATAATGCTGCAGTGAACATGGGGGTGCATATATCTTTTCAAGTTAGTGCTTTTGGTTTCTTAGGATAAATACCCAGAAGTGGAATTGCTAGGTTAATCTCCATATTGTTCTCCATAGTGACTGTACCAATTTATAATCCCACGAACAGTACAAAAGGTTTCCCTTTTTTCTACATCCTCCCTTTTTTCTACTTGTTATTTCTTGTCCTTTTGATAATAGCCATTTTAACAGGTGTGCGGTGATAGATATCTCATTGTGGTTTTGATTTGCATTTCCCTGATGATTAGTGATGTTGAGCATCTTTTCATGTACCTCTTGGACATCTGTATGTCTTCTTCAGAAGAGTATCTATTTGGATCTTCTGCCTATTTTAAAAATTGGATTGCTTGCTTTTTTTTTGCTGTTGCGTTGTATGAATTCCTTATATGTTCTGAATTTTAACCCCTTATCAGGTATATAATTTGCAAATATTTTCTCCTATTCAGTATATTGTCTTTTCATTTTGTTGATTTCCTTTGCTGTGCAGAAGCTTTTTAGTTTGATGTACTTCCACTTGTTTGTTTTTGCTTTTGGTGTCAGAAAAAAAAAAAATCATTTCCAAGACCTCTGTCAAGCTTACTGAATATATTTTCTAAATTTTAGGACAATTTGTTATTAGAATGACCAACAGTCTGTGTTTGCCTGGGGCTGTTCTAGTTTGAGCACTGAAAGTTATGAGTTTCAGTAAAATCCACAATCCTAGACAAACCGAGACAATTGGTAAGTGTATTTGTGATGCAGCAGTAGATAATTAATACACTTATGCATATGCTATTTCTCATGGATGCAGGTGTATTTTCAAGATACATTCCTAGAAGTGGATTTTTTCAGGTCTAAATGGTAAATTCATCTAGAATTCCAAATTCCCCTTTGTAGGGATTGTAACATTTCATACTCCCATCTGCAATATGAGAGTGCCTCTTCCTCCATGGTCTCTTAACAGTTTGTTCTAATTATCTTTTTTTGATAATTAAGTTAATTTAATATTTGATTACATGTGTAAGTGTAAGCTGACTCAAATTAGAATAAAGTTATACATTTAAACATTAATTAAAATTTGTAGAATTAAAATGCATGATTTATACTTTGTTTATTCCCATAAACTCATTTCACTGAATTCACAAAGGGAAACAAATGAATATAGTCAATCAATCATTGGTTACTCGACCCGTGTGTGTGTGTGTGTGTGTGTGTGTGTGTGTGTGTGTGTCTGTATGTGTCTGTATGTGTCTTCTCAACCTCCCTCCCCCATAACTTGCTTTCATGTAAATTGTTGACTAAACTTTCAATTTCACTTTCAGTCTCTTGCTCCATCATGGTAGAATTAGCCAAAATGGCATGTTTAACTTCAGTATTGGAACGTGTGCTGTGGTAGACGGAAGAAAAGATGGTGGTTTGAGTGGACCCCTGTGTGATTGCTAGCAGATTTGGCAGATTCAGATGTCTATAATAATGTTCCCCAGCAGAAATTAAAGTGTAGGTGAAGTGACTCCCCATTCCTCTCAATTCTGTTATCCAGTGGCATAAGCTGAACAGACACATTTATGGTTACAGTTGTTTGGGAAGTGTCCTTAGGGTGGCTCCCTGGAGAGTGCTTCCTGGAGTGTCACCCTGTGTGTGTACAGTGGCTTCCTTTCAACAGGAAGTGCACCCAACAAGAACGTCTCAGTTTTGATTTCCCCTGAACTGGTTTAAACCTCCCTTTTAGGAAACATGGGGGTGAAGGAAACGCAAATGAGGGTAAAATTAGATTAGGAGCCCAGTGTAGACGAACTGTTTTGCCTTATGTCCTGTACCTGGCAGGACTTGTGATCTTGTTTATTATGGGTTCTGTTTATATTCCTTGCTTTCCCCAAACGGCTCCCCCAGGACAGCCTGTGAGGTGGTGTGAATGGAGGATTTGTAAGGTGGTGTGAATGGGGCTCTTGTAAACAGAAGTGAGGCTGAGAAGGTTCAGGCCCACAGGCAGTCAGTCCCACCGGCTGCTGGTCCTCTTATATTTTATAGCCTCAGGAGGTTCTTTTATTCTTATTCTCATTTTTATCATTTATTCTAGGTATTCTTTTATAAATCTGCTTTTAAGCACTTCACTCAGCAGTTGTCCCTATTCATTCCCCTCATCTGAGAGTTCACTTTTTTTTTTTAAGATTTTAGAATTTGCATCTTTATACCTGTTTTGTAGATTTAATTGTGTTTTTAGTGATCAGGAGAAAATTGTCTGAATTCTTTAGAATCCAAATAAGTTAGCCAGCCCCTACAAAATGCAAAATTACATACTTTAGTAAGGAAGTGTTTTGATGCTCTTTGGGTACACTGGATACTAATATAAGAAGATGGGGGGAATTGGTAATTTGGCTGCTAAGGTATCTTTTTCCTGATTTGGAATAAGTAACAGGGCTGGGTACTCTTTTCATGCAGTTTTGAGGACATAGAGTGATGTGACTTATAACTAACTTGTACATTTCTATTCATTTTCAGTTTAACTGAAAAAGAAAAAAATCAAAGATTAGCATTAAAATAATAGGAATCTTCTATGAGATCAGCACATTTGTTCTCAAGAAAACTAAAGCAGAGGAGAAATCCAGATATTCACAACTTTTCATTTTTAACTTTCTAGTTTTTCAGTATTATTTAATAAAGTTAATTAGATCCTGAAATCAGTTAGGAATTGCTTTTGACTTCTATTAATAGAGACTCAAAATAACAATGGCTTTAACCAAATAAAGCCCTCTTGTGTTTCCTTTCATGTGAAACAGAAGCAAGCGGCTCAGAACTAGTACAGCAGCTCCATGGTCCTCAGGAACCCAGGCTCCTTGTCTTTCTTGCTACTCTATTCTTAGTGCATGCCTTCTCTGTTCAAGGTTACCTCACTGTCAAGAGATGGCTGCTGGAGCTCTACCCATCACTTTTGCCTTGTAGACAGCAGGAAGAAGGAAAGGAGGTGAGTAAAGTCAGTTGCATCCCATTTGAATCAACTTCTTTTGGAGACCTTTCTCTGCAGCTTTCTCCAGTAACTTCTACTTAAATCTCATTGGCCGCCTGTATCTTAAAAGGGATGTTTGGAAATGTAGGTTGTCTGCTGAGCGCATTGCAGAGTCTAACTGTGTAGGTGCCTGTTACTAAGGAAGAAGGGAGAGTGGCCACTGGGTCGGTAAGGAGCAGCCTCTACTGCAGTGGCTGTGGTTCTGCTTCTTCCTCTGGGCAGGCCCACCACCAGGTGTGATGTTGAGAGGTGGGGAAACAATCCAAGCAACGTGATACCTTGGTCAGTACAATCCAAGAAAAATTCACACAGGGCCTACTTCCTGTGGTCGAATTAGGCATGTATACTCATGTCCTTATATTGCCATATCATTATAATGTACAAACATTATACCTATATGTATATGTATATACATATATATGTATATGTATACATATATACAAACATATACATATGATGTACAAACATTCATTTCCTATAGCTGCTGTAACAAATTTACCAGTAAACTTGGTGACTTGAAGCAACAGAAATTTATTCTCTTGTAATTCTGGAGGCCAGAGTCGAAGATCAGTTTCACTGAGTGAAATCAAGGTGACAGGGCTGTGCTCCTTCTAGGGGCTCTAGGGGAGAACCCCTTCCTTGCCTCTTCCAGCTTCTGGTGGTTGCCAGCAGTTTTGGGCTTGTGGCTGCATCACTCCAACCTCTGCCTCTACCTTCACATGGCCTTCTCCTCTGTGTGTCTCACAGTTCCCTCCTTATAAAGGTACATGGGATTGTGTTTAAGGCAGACCCAAATAATCCTCCTCTCAAGATCCTTAACTTAATGACCCCTCCTGCCATGTAAGGTAATATTCATACTTTTGCCATATAAGGTAACATTCATAGGTTCCGAGGATTAGGATGTGCACTTGTCTTTTGGGGCCTCCATTCAGCCCACTATATATGGGGAATAGTTTATATCCTAAATTGCCTTCTCTGGCATCTATATAAGTATTTTTCTTGTTGACAACCCAGTTAAGCACAGTTGGTTTTCTTCCAAATATATGAAAATTTATTATATAAATATGATTAAAATCATACAAATTATACATACCTTCCTTGTATCTTATAGACATCAACTAGTATTAAGCTGACTTGTCATCTCATATGACTTTGTATTTTGGGTTTCTTTTTTTTTTTTTGCTGTACGCGGACCTCTCACTGTTTTGGCCTCTCCCATTGTGGAGCACAGGCTCCAGACACACAGGCTCAGCGGCCATGGCTCACGGGCCCAGCCGCTCCGTGGCATGTGGGATCTTCCCGGACCGGGGCACGAACCTGTGTCCCCTGCATCAGCAGGCAGACTCTCAACCACTGCGCCACCAGGGAAGCCCTTGGGTTTCTTTATATTTGTTTGTTTTTTTGGTGCAAGTCTATTTTCTTTCTCACTGTTTTAAAAAGTAAGGTTTATTGAGGTATCATCTACATACAATAAAATTCACCCATTTTAAGTGTATAGTTCTATAAGTTTTGAAAAACATATACAGTCATGTAACTGCACCAAACTAAAGTTATAGAATATTTCCACCACCCCCAGAAAAAGTTCCCTCATGCCCCTTTATAATTAATTCTGTCCCTCCACCATACTCCCTGGAAACCACTGATCAGATTTCGCTCCTACAGATCTTTTTCTTCTCAACAGTGTCATAAAAGTGGAATCATACAGTATTTATCCTTTTGTATCTCACTTCTTTCACTTAAAATACTATTTTTGAGATTCATCCATGTTGTTGCATGTATCAGTAGTTTGTTCCTTTTTACTGCTGAGTAGTATTCCAATGTATAGATGTACTGCAGTTTATCTATCTCCTACTTGGGTTGTTTCCAGTTTTTGACAATTATGACTGAAGATGCTATAAACATTTTTTACAGTTTTTTACGTGAACATAAATTTTAATTTCCTTGGATAGATACCTAGGAATGGGTATTGCTGGGTTGTGTGGGAAATGTATGTTTAACTTTCTAAGAAATTGCTGAAGAGTTTTCCTAAGTGGGTATACCACTTTTTATGCCCCCTGGCGGTGTATGAGAGTTCCAGGTGCTCTGCATTCTCACCAACCCTAGGTAATGCCAGTTTCTTTTGTTTGTTTACATTCTAATTGGTGTATTGTGGTATCTCGGTGTGATTTTAATGTACATTTCCCTAATGACTAATGGTTTTGAGAGTCTTTTTATGTGCCTATTTGCCATCCATATTTCTTTGAGGAAGTGTTTCTTCAAATCTTTTGCCCATTTTTAATTAAGGTTGTTTGTTTTCTCATTATTAACGTTTGAGAGTTTTTTATGTATTCTGGGTACCAGTCCATTATCAGATATGCATTTTGTGCATATTTTCTCACAGTATGCAGCTTTTCTTTTCATTTTTACAACTGTCTTTTATGCTGCAGAAACTTTTAATTTTGATATATTCGAGCTTATTATGTTCATTGCAGAGCTACGTGGGAATGCACAGCTAACCACATCAGCTAAGCCTTCAGTTCTATTCTTGTCTTTGCCAATTACACAGGTAATAAAGAGCAGTTCCTTGAATCAATCAGTTCATTAATCAATGAGTGTTTATGAGTCTCAGCTCTGCCATTTACTGTTTATATGACCTTTGGCATTTTTGCCCTTTGTCTATAAAAGCAGAATGGGGAATTTAATAGTACTTTCCTTTTTTAAAAATTTTTTTATTATAGTTGATTTACAACGTTGCATTAGTTTCTGCTGTACAGCAAAATGTATTAGTTATACATATACATATATCCACTCTTTTTAGATTCTTTTCCCATATAGGTCATTACAGAGTATTGAGAAGAGTTCCCTGTGCTTATATAGTAGGTCCTTATAATAGTACTTTCAATAAAATGGGTACAGTCATAATTGCTTCTTTGTTTCATGTCAAGGTATTTTTGATGATTAAATGAAATAAAAAAGGTAAAAGTATTTTATAAACCATAAAGTAGAGTCCAAGCATAGTGAGCCCTGCTGCATGACCAGTAATCTTCTAGGCCCTTGGGGGAGGAGGGATGTAAGGAATGTATAGAATACAATTCTTATAACTGAAGAACTTTAAAAATTGGTGCTATTCTACATGTGGTGTCATTACAGCAACCATGTGTCTAGGATTTCCTGGAACTATCCTCTCTCCCCCTGCAAATTCTGTGTCGGACATTGTGTCTCAATTTTTGGTTCAGAAATATATTAATCACAGACATAAAGCCTGTTTTATAGGAAAGTTCACAAACCTCATTGAGGCTAACAGTATTCTTTAATAATTTTAATTGTTTTAGTTTTGAAAGAGGCAAAAGGCTAGTTGTGTGAATGTATTACTTCTTTTGCTTTTGGTAGGCCTGAAACATGGGGTGTGTGTGTGTGTGTGTGTGTGTGTGTGTGTGTGTGTGTGTGTGTTTAAATATATGTTTACCAATGCATTTTTAATTGGTAAAAAGATTCTCTCTCCTTTTAGAAATAGTATTCACATGATCAGTTTTATTTTTTCCTCATTCGATATAAAGTTGATTTTGAATCAACTAAACACAAAGGAATGCCTTGTCTGAATTGTTTTCTTTCTTTTTTCTTTTTAAAGTTTTTTTCACTTTCCAAAAACTTGATCCAGCCAAGTGAGAATCTTCAGTCTTAGCCAAAAGTTTGTTCCCGAATTGATATTATCCTATAGTCTAATTCCAACAGAAATAGTTCTTGCTGAAGATAAAGAACCTTTATCTTCAGCAAGAACTATTATCTTCTTTTTCTTTAGAAAAGAAAGCATCTTCATAAGGAAAACATGGAAATATTGCTTCTGCAATATTACTGAGTTGGGCAGCAAGTGCAGCCCATCGAGGTCCACACGAGCAGGGATACTGAGGGAGGAACAGACGCTCTTCTCAATGATGCCCGCTTCAGCTGAGGGCCTCGGCTGGCTCTGATGCAAAACCACAGGGTAAATTGATTTTGATAGGAACCGTGTGTACCATGTCTTCTCATACATAAGATTTTACATTAGTGCATCATTAAAAACATACTGCTTGTGTGTCAACTTCTTCTTGGTCATTTGTGAGGTAAACAACAAGCAGAAACCTCCTTAGTTGTGTTTCCAAGGGCCTGTTGATCTGTCTGTGCCTGACATAAACATAAAATCAAACACAGGAGTTTCTAGCCTCAAGGACTCCCACCTGGATTTTGAGGTCCCCCTGGGTGAAGAGTCTGGAAATTGGATGGGGAAGCTGAAAGAAATCGGGCTCTTTCCCGTCCCTGCCCACCCTCCCCTTCCTTTATCCTCTTCCAGCACTGAGGGGCCCTCTGCACCCTTCCCTAGGGAACCTGAGCATCCCAGAATGGGCCAGTGTTGAAGGCCACAAAGCCCCCTTTCCCGCCATGCAAACCTGTACTCTCTTCTGACTCTGCCCTAAGGCCAGGTGGGAGTGGTGGCTAAATACAGGAAAAAAGTTTTCTTACTTGATGATTTACTGAGTAGAAAAGGAGTATGCAAACTAACAAAAAATGTGCTGATTGGGCCGAATCATTCCTGCTCTGGTGCTGGAAGTGGGGAGAACAGAGAAAAGCTTGTGTTGAATGTAGATCTGGTGGTGTGACTGCTCAATCATTGCCAGGTTCTAGCATTCTCCCACCCGGATATACCTTTGGGTGAACATATTATCAATGGAAGAAAAGAACCCAAAATTCCCTTGCCCACCTCACAGAGGCTCTTGGCTGCAGAGATTCTCAGCCTGGGTATGGGAGGAGAGTAGCAGAACCTTCTGGAGGCTTTGTGAATGACACACTGGAGTATCTGCTGTAGTCCCCTACTAACCCCCTTATCGCAAATCGTGGCCCAACTGAGCCATGGTTTAGATATAAAACTGTCACATCCCTTAGGTGGGGGTGGAAGAGAATCGAGAACAACTTTGCTGGTGGACTTTATAACATCATGGGCCTGT